CTGGACATAATATTTGGTGAGAACTCCACTAACCACAGTGATGAAATACCTCACAGTGGTAAAAGTAAGCAACCTTATAAGAGCGTATATATGTATCGGTTTAACAGATGAAGAACAAATACATAGACGATCAAGAATCAAATCCTCAAAGGTACTCAGCTGCCTAAACACCTCCGAAGATGTAGATTTAATTCACTTCTCCACTTCAACTCACATAACAGGGCAGGGACTTGAGTCCAGATTCTTGGATTCAAAGCACCTTCCCAGATTTAATGTTTTATCACAAACTTCCACCACTGCAGTTCAGCAACAGACAGATTCTACTTCCATTTATCCCAGCGTACTCTGCATCAACCCCAGTAATATTAGAGTTCTCTGGATTTAAATCAGTGTAACAGAACCATCTCTAGCTCTAATGATAAGGACTGGGAACACGTTACAAAGAAACGTTAAGGACTCAGTCCCTGCTTAACACAGAGTCAGCAATTTAAACATGCACAAGCCAAGGAACTAGCCCGTTTCTCACAAATGAAAGAAAAAAAATTTCAAGGTATTTTCATGTTGAAAACACATTGTATATTAAAAAGATAGCACTTTTTCTCACACAGAAATAGCCTAATGGTATTGTGTGGTTCTCAGAAATGTTTTTTATGAACTACAAACATTTATCTTTCACTTTACCATCTGTAATTACCATAACAGTATGGTAATTACTTTCTTATAAAACTCATTCTTTCTTATAAAAATAATTTTATCTGAAGAAACTCATGATCCTGAGATCTGTTGGAAGGAGATCATTTACAAAAGATCCCCCAAACATATATGAAATATCTCTGTTACACCATTTTCCCTGTCCTGATGGCTAGCAGTTGAAGACTGACTGGACACGTATTTCCACAGGAAAATTATTTGGGTCAACATTCATATATGAGATGAAATCTCTACTAGATAGCACCTTTCCCCAACCTATTAAATATTTAGAGTGTAATAATATTTTTAAAAAAATATATTCTGCACAAATATTTAGTTTGTTCCAACTTTTTTAGGCAATTTTGGGAGGTGGCTTCCAGCATGATGTTGGACACACTCTGCTCAATAATGTCAGCCTGACATTCTTCCCTATGTTCCAAATCCTCCTCCACATGTTTAATGTCTCTGGTTATAGCTCATTTTAAACCATGTAAATCCAGTAAAGAATAGCTAATTTTACAGTGAGTTGCTTATGGTTGAAAGTGGCCCTGAAACAGAACTCTGGGTCTAAATACACACAAATATGTGTATTAGCAGTGTATTTGAGAAATTTGCATGGGAATTCTACCCAATTTAACAGCTCAGCCATATGCTTATCAGCAATATAATCCCTCACGAGACTTCACAAATAGAGTAAAATTGCAGATGTGCATCTCTGATAAGAATTCTCCATCCAGAATACAGTAACCTGTAACTAAACCAGATAAGCATTCAGATTTTATTAAGATAGCTTTATCCAAAATACCATATAAAGGAAAAGTTATCAGAGGTTATAGATGGTGGGTGGAAGAGAAGTGAGTCACACTCACCAGGAGTAAAAGTGCTGAGCCTCTGAGAAGCATTGCTAACATGTCTGTGAAAAAACTGCCCTCTCTTCCTCTCCACAACAGCATTTCTGAAACAAGACAACTGAGTATTCAAGTGGCAAGACCCAATGCTTATTGTTGCAACCTTGGGGGGCAGAAGAAGGGAAGTTCCAAAGTTTTAAATTTTTTAACTAAAGAGCTGTCAGTGACATTTTTTGATGCAGAAGAGTCATCCATCTGAATCATGCAGAACAATTCAATAGTCTTTCATCAAGCCAAAGGAGAAATAATAAAAAAATAACTATATTTAATATGAGATAATACAGGCAAAAATATTCGAAGAACAATGGGAATCAATTATTTAGAACTCATCCTTTGCAACTGATGGCTGGATGCTTTTGGGTGAGATATATAGCAATTTCAAAGACAGTCTCAGAATATGTTTCAGCCTCCACCTTTCAGGTAAGAAGTATTTACTGTTTATTATACATCCACTGGAAAAAACCTGCCTACAAGGCAGTTCAAGCCAGCAGAATCAAAGGTGAAAGACAATTTCATACTCAGAAACACACATGAAGAACTGCATTTATTTTGGTAAAATCCCCATCACCAAAACAAATTTTAAAAATTAAATCTTTCTTTTATCAGGGCCAAGTTATGTCTGATTCACAATGACTAACACTGTGTCTTGCCCTGTGAATAGGCTTCTTTGTGCTCAAAGGGAGAAAAGGTGGTAAGAATCTTACTCTTGATAAATTCACATTTCCCTAGTGTTATGAACATACGCAGGACAAATTACTTTAGTTCACCAAACTACAAGGAAATTCCCAAGAAATGGGTGTGCACAGGGGAGAGCAGAGGAAGAAAAAAAAAATTAGATTTGATTCCAATAAAACACTTCTTGTCCTGTCTTTTCCTTCCTCCTTTGTTACCCTCTTTGTCTTTGACTCTAAGACATTTAATTAGAGTCAAAACAATGGGTTTAATTTTGGGGAGCACGTTAAGGCAGAAAAGGAGGATGTACAAGCAACTGTTTTATCCAAAATACAAGACTTTCAACCAAAACATTGGGGAAGACTTTGTCCAGAAGCTCTTTTCCTAACATTCCTTTCTCCCATAGAACATTCATCAATATAATCAAAAAGTTTTTGAATAATCAAAATGTCATTTCTAAGGAAATGAACTTGCCAGTAAACATTTAGTCAGCTGTACTTTTTTTCTTTTTAAGAGAGATTCTCTGCCTCACCTCCAGAAAGTTACAGCTCAGAACACAAAGCCAAAGCCAGGCAGGAACAAGGAGCTGTTATTACCACTGTACCTTCCCTTTCCAGACCTACTTCCAAAGCAGCTTCACTGAGTTTGGACAGTCCCAAAGTCCACTGAAGCCATGACAGCTGGACACCAGCCGACAGCACCACAACACTGAGTCTACAGCATTAATCTCACCCCATACTCTCTTCCCTTGCCCACACCCACAAATAACACTGCTCCCTAAATTAAGGCATCCATGAGAGACAAAAGACAGGAACTCTGTTATCATACTCCAAGCTCCTATATCCCCCCTCCTAAGTTCCTTTTAAACCTTTTGCCATACATTTTGGTTTCATACAAAGGGTGCAGAGGAGGCTGAAAATTTTCATCTTGGGAATTCAGACAGTACTCCTGTACAGGTTAGAAGAGGACTAAAGAATACAATCGTTAGTTCATAGGATCTACTTGCTTTTTCACTATTATTAGTGAGATTTATTTAACAGAAGTTACCAGGAAGAACTAGGGTCCTACAGTGCTGGGCACTAGCAACAAACCCAAAAAAACACCTGCCCTTCCCCGAAGACCTCACAGAAATTATAACCACTGGCAGGTACATGAAGCAAGCAGATGGACAACTACTACGTTGGAATAAACTACCAGGCAGCGTAACTCTAGCAAGAGTTTTGTGAAAAAACAAAGTGGGAATTTTCAGGAACAAGTCAAAGGAAGATGATAAAAAGTTTTACTATACTAAGCATGCTGTTATCTGCATTTCCATCCAGATTCTCAGCTACTGCAGCATCAGTTGTTAGCAGTGATCCATTAAATCCGTAACTTGGAGAGCTGCATGGCTAGTGTAACTCCTATTCCTCAACACATTCATTCGTTTCCCAACAGATAAAGAATTGGTCACAATAACAGTTACATTTTTACATCTGCAGGAAGGCACTGCTGTTCTCCTACATCTGCTCTCACAAGCTACACTAGGTTGGAGGTTAAGAGACACATAAAGAAGGAAGGACAGATAGAGGGGATTTCTTTAATATGTAGGGCTGCCACTATTAAAAAACAGACAGACAGAACATGCTACGGATCAGGGAGAGCTCTGGGAAGAGCAGGAACTCTGTTTATCAATGCTGGAGATCCCTCTGCTCAGCAAGATAAGAATCCTCTCTCAAATATATCACCGTTGTGTCTGAAACTGTTTCTCTTCCTTTAAAAATAAATTGCAAATAATATTTGACTCCAGGCTCACCTAGGCTGTATTCTATTTTAACTTCCTCAGCCATTAGCACAAGATGACCATTTCATAATTTGCTCACACATTTTATCCCACCTATTAGTCATCACCTGGCCCCAAAGCCAAATTAAAACTGTGTTTGGAACTGAGTTCGGAACAGGGTCCCCAGCCAAATAAGAAGGATAGAATGAAGACACTCATATCACATGTAAGACCAGATGAAAATTAGTACACAAGAATCTGTAACCCAATAAAGTGACATTTATCTTCTGGGTCATCGTATCCCTCAACTGCCTCAAAAAGGTTCTCTTCAGGGCAGGTGGCTACTGAGTGGGGCATGGAACTGGTCCAGAAGACTTCATTTTAAATAAATAGTACTGTACCCCACTTTTCTCAAGAACTTGTTTATCTGCAAACAGGCTTCACTTGCTCCACTTTAATCAAGATTTTAAGGGGGTCTCTCAAAGGGTTTTGTTAAACTGCTCAGTAATTATTCTAGGATGCTTTTGGGGAGCAATACAGATGCTGTGTTTTACAGTGAAGTGACCACTTTAAACAAGATTTTACCAGATCTCTCCCACATGGCAAAGAAGTGTTTTCTTCCAACTCACAAAAAAATCAATAAATTTGTCAACAAAGGCAGATTTCAAAGAATGATTAGAAGCATATTTCACAGTAACTAGAGCAATCATATTTATGTTCCAAAATGGAGTACAAGACAAATTAACTGACAGTTGTAGCAACACACTGTATCTGTGAATTACACTGCTCACAGGAACAACTGTGTTCAGGAATGCACAATGGAAGCAGGAGATAGGTTCAAGATGTTTTGGAGCAGGCTGAATTACAGACAGATGTATGTAACAGCATGTCCAGTCAAAATGAATTAAAGCAGAAACACACATAAGAAAATAGACAAAGAAGAACAAATCATATTGTTATAATTAACGTACCTTGCAGTGACACCTGTGGCTTTCCAAGATAAGAAATCCGGAAGATCAAAGAAGTAGCCTGCCTTCTCCCAGCACGATTCTTTCAAGTTCTACAAAAAAATTTTTAGAAACACAGGTATTAGAGGCCAGGCACGATCATGTCCCTATTTAAATGCAATTTAAAAACCTGACATTTATGTAAAAACTATAGTTGTTCCAAACCCTATACTCTGATCATCCAGTCTGCCCTACTCACTTTACAGTGATTTACTGCCTGAAGAACTGAGCCTTTCCCCCACCACAGACCGATCATCAGAAAGGAGTTTCCCATGAAGAGTTCATGGAGGCACATGCTTCAGATCAATAATGCAGACTCTCTCAGTTCCCCGTCAGCTGCTCAATGTCAGAGCAGTCTCAAAGTCAATAGACAACTTTCTCAAAAAATATTTTCTAGAAGAATGCCCTGCTTTCTAAAATAAACTATTTTAAATTTACAATTTTTGAATTATAAATCTTGTCTTTTAGCTTTCAGGTCCCACCTTTTTCACCTATTCTCTGTAAGCTCAGGCCAAGACTCTTGTACAAGATTCCAGAAGCAGAGTATTTTTTAGAGAAGTATTAAAGAGTTTCAATAGCATAAGCTTTGTCAACAGCAACTACAAGTCCTTCCTCTTCCCCCACAAAAAACCCCTGTAAGAACCTGTGGCACTCAGATGAGCAGAGGGCCAAAGCATTTTAGCATGGGTTCTAGCCGCTTTGTTAATATGCTTTTCTATTCAAACCTTTTTTTTTTTTTTCCAAATTATTCAGTAAATTGTCAATAACTAACATGACAGTTTAAATTATCTGCATTTTAAAAGCCGCCATCAGTTTTCTGGAGCTAAACTTCATTATATGCAGTATGAAGAATGCACAGGCTGAATTAAAATAAAAGATAATTCAGTTTTAAGAAATACTACTTGGCTCTATAACTTTGTTCACATGCTATGTGGTATCAAACCAGTATCTTACAAATCCAGAAGGTTACTGAAATGGAATCTATTCATTCCAGAAACTAAGGTGCAACAAACATTTTGTTTAGCTTTGGATCATGCAAAGAATCTGTCTTCTTTGAGTTTAGTTCTTCAAAAGCTTCTAAAACTTACTGGGTTTCTATTCAGTTCAAAAAATAAATGCTCCAATTACAACTATTTAACATAAAATGCACAACCTTTGGAAGTCTGTGCCTAATCACTGGGGTTTAGCTGACCTCCCAGACATATGTGGCTGCTACTCACTTCAAATTTAACTTTATACATGAAGGCAAAGATGTTCCCTAGTTTAGTACAACGGTCACTCAGCCTGATTACTTTGATACTAAAAGCCATTATGTGTTGTTAACACACCTGGCAGTCTTCAAGAAGCAACAGGAGTAGTTTGGCTATTAGTGTTAATCAGAAAAGAAAGTGGATTTTAAGGATAACTGTCCTCTTCAAACAAATCCGTTTCATCAAAGATACTGCTTGTATCCTTATTCTATTACTTCAAGAATTCCCAAAAGCCACATGTTGGTGACACTAAAATATGTTGTTTCATGAACATCCAAATGATTCATTCTTTGCCATCTTGATGCTTTGTCATCACTAATTAGTACAGACAAAAAAAATCATAGCATGCCCTGATGCTTTTTCCAAACAAATTTAAAAGTCTCCATGTTTTCGACACTCACTGAAGTTAATTCTAATTTATTTTCACTCACAGTCAGGAATCTGTGACCACATTAAAAGGATTGTGGAAAAGATCCGGGAACGTTCCCAATGCTGTATTCATATCCTGCAACTCAGCCTCCAAACTCACTTGTAAAGAAACTAATTCAATCTTTCTATTTTCCAGGGGTATTTAGGGAGTCCCCTATCTTCATCTCTCTTTCTGTTTTGGGGTGGTTTTTTTTTTTTCAACTATACCTCCAAATAATCATTTGTGAGATCCTTACAGATAATCCCAAATACCTGGGGGTAAAGAGTTTCAAGAATTATGAAGTATGATGTCTTTTAATCTTCCTAGACAAGAAGGGTCTAGGAGAGTGAGGGGTCAGGCAATTGATACAGAGTACATGAAAAGCCTCCATTGCCCATTTAATCCTTCACAAGTCAAAAGATTATCATGAAGCCACACTGCACAATTTTGTGTTGTGTTTTTTGTTCACCTCTTAATTGGACTGAAAATACACACGCAGGCAGAATTTCACATGAGCTCCAGCATCCAATACAAATTTTTGGAGACACTTAGAGGCACATCTTCCTTGGGAAAGCTGAAAGTGCTTTTGTCATGGTTTAACCCCAGCCAGCAACTAAGCTCCATGCAGCTGCTCACTCACACCCCCTGGGTGGGATGGGGGAGAGAATTGGGAGGATAAAAGTGAGAAAAATCATGGGTTGAGATAAAAACAGTTTAATAAGCAGAGCAAAAGCTGCTCACATAAGCAAAGCACAACAAGGAATTCTTTGATTTTTAATCTTACTGAGTACGTAATCTGATTGTAAGACGAAGATGTCTAATGTTTGTGAAAAGGCATTTTTCTCCACCAGAAGAAAAACATGTACATAAATGTATATAAACACCAAAGATGTCCTGACTTTTGTTATTCCTGATACAGATTAAACTTGTATCAAATTATCTTAAATGCTGCAATAGACAGCCTTTGTATCAGATCCCTGTTGGCCACAGGATTAACTAAAGATGGGCTAGAAGCAAGACGTCTGATTTAGCACAGGGTACCAGTCTGAATTTCATGGCTACTTATGAGCCAAAACCCACAAATTCAAAAATCATCCCAAACTGGTGTGTTAGAAACCTAGATTAAAACCAGGAGGGACAGACGGATTCAGAAAAATTGTTTTAACATTTATTGTAAAAAAAGAAAGCTGGCATGAGCATTCAAGTTCCACATTAGGTCAAAATCTAAGTCATCTGAGAATCAGAAAAGATATTAATTCACTGAAGAACCATCTGTTTTTCCCAATTCAACCCCAAATTTGAATCTCAGTCTCCCAGGCAATCTGTAATAGTAGACCATATAGTGTATCAATCTCTCATTTTCTAAATTACAGAAAACAAATATACTTTGCTTGAAAGGAAGAAAGGGAACAACTTAAGACTTAATGCACACAGTTATGGGGATACAAGAAACGGATGGCCCATGTCCTACTCCAATTGAGACAAAGCAAGGACTTAGGACTCAGATCTCCCACACTTCAGACTGGATGACCAGCCACACGATAGAGCTATTCAGAGATACCCAAGATAAGATCTGAGCAGAAATTTTCCCCTTGCCAGAGCCAAGGCTGCAAACTGATCAATTTCGCAACTATCAGTTGCCCTCTAATTCGTAAACAATTACTAACTGAATTATCAGATTCATCTTGAGGCTGGAACCGGGGTGAGGGAGGAAAGGGGGAGCTTGGAAAGTAACCTCAGGGTAAAGCTCCTGAAGGTGGAGAAAACTGCCTTTCTGCAACACACTGTCCCTACCACCAAGACACTGTCTCAGACATGTGTGGGTATTTTCAAATCCCTGAGACACCCTGAGCATGGCACAAGTCAGGCAAGCACCAGAGTCCAAGTCAGAAAGGGCTCCAGAGGGACAGACCAGGCACATTAAAGGTTGAGTTGGCAGAAGCTCTAATGAGGCAAGAAGGACAATCTGCATGTGTCTTGTGAGCTTCATCACACTGCAATGAAGTGGAGAAATACAGCTGGGAGACAGGCTAAGTAGGACATACTTAGAGGTGTAGGTGCTTCAAACCACCCAGCTGTTAATCCTTTTTTTAAACAGTATTTCTGCCAGATTAGCAACTGCAACTAAAAGCCAAACTCAACAGTCCAAAGCACAGTTATGCATCCATGTCTGCACAATATATGGACTTTGATAACACAGAGCTGTGAAAGCATTTATAAACAATTCTAATCAAGAGTTCAGTTCCAAACTCAGTAGCCTGAACTCATTCTCACTTAACATGGAATTTATTTTTTATTTTAATGGATAAATATTCAGCCACATTCAACAAAAGGAAAAGCCAGCTGCAAAGGCAGCAAGCAACGGAGAAGACATGCATCAACAAAGAAGCTGCTGCCAAGCTAATGCCAGTACATCCGCTATTCTTCTTCCCTCCATAGCCAGGGAAAGAGATTTTTCATTGTTTCTGCAAATTATCCCACTGGTAAGTGGAAGTCACGGTGTAGAGAAAGAACAATCATGTGTAAAATGGCAGCTGTAACTGAACATGTGAACTCCAACACACAGAAAGATCACTGACCACTGTGCCAGAAAAAGAAAATAAAGAAAATTATTCAAAACCTATTGATTTTAGTTACTAACTGCAAAGGAATGATATACCAGCTAGTCACTCTTTGAAGTGATCTGTTTTTTGCTAAAGGGAGGCTCTTCTCTGTACCAAATTAAGAACAGAGTTGGGAAAACACAGTATAGGAAGACCACATTTCATTTGGAGACAGTTACAGAGCAAATACCTACTCCCAGTCCAGCATCCCCCACCCATTTAGAATAAGCTACAGCATCTCTGATTTAATGGGACTAGTATTTTTTTAGAAATAGCTGATTTGTAATGTCATTACTATGAGGAAAACACAACAAGCATCCTTTCATTTTGGCACAAGCTACAATAAAATTTCCAGCCAGAAATTAGTAAACAAAACTTTTTTCATCTGCTACCTCTGGGAAAAAAAAAATACTAAGAGGCTAATTCTAGAGCTAGACAAACCTTCACTGGAGTTTTTACATTGCTCTGGTGAAGCTACGCTCTCACTGCTGTGGTGTTGGTTTGCCACAGCATAGGCATCCGTACAGTCATGTTGTACTGACAAACATTTGCAGCAAAGTAATTTCCAACTGAAGGAGTAAGTACCTACATTTTCCGTTCACATGCACGCATCTATCTACCAGAACTGTCCGCACACTCATTCAGGCAGTGAACATCCAATTTCTTCAGCCAAAACCAACAAAAAAGCACAATCTGCTTAGCAAAGCTGCAAACTACCGAAGTAAAAAACTATTGCAATAATGTTTTGCAAGATATTTCTAAACAATGAAGAAATCTAAGGAAATAACAGC